GGAAACAGCCCTGATCTCAATCCAATTGAAAATTTGTGGCGACGTTTGAAAATTCTTGTACGAAAAAAACGTCCATCCAATAAAAGACAACTTATTGAAGCTATAATTGATTCTTGGCACCATGTAATTACGAAAGATGAACTTCAAACAGTCGTTCACTCAATGAAAAGAAGCTGGGAAGCTATCTTAAAAAATTAGGGGTATCCTACTAAGTATTGATTGTGTAAGTATCACTTTAAAAAATTGCAAATCTAAGACAGATCTTACTATTAGTTGCGGAACTTTTTTTGTAATACAGATATTGTAATATTGTATTCATTATTAAATTTTACATTAAATTACCTTCAATTTGATATATAAACTTTTGTATTTAAATGAAAATTAATATATTCTACAAGCACACAAAGTTGAAAATCATGAAACTTTCAAAAAGTGTCCACACTTTTGGCCACCACTGTATATTATTTTTTTTTTTCAAATAAATAATTGTTTTGAACATATTTTGTTTTAGAAAAAGTTCCTTTAAATTAATTCAAATAATTCAATTAATAAATTAATTTAAATTCAAATTTTAAATTAATTAAATATTTTGACACTTAAAGTTTGATTTTTTAATGTAATTCATTTGTCCTTTAAAGAGAATTATTGAAAATTTTCTTATGCTATTTATGTAGATTTTTAAATAGTTTTTTTTCAAAGTTAATGCATGCACCAAAAAAAAGGGGGGGGGAATTGTCAAATTTTTTAAAGGATTTATTTAAAAATTGTTAATAAGAAAAGAGATATTAAAATTGGCCATTTTAATGTAAACATATGAAGTAAAAAAACTCTACTTATAACAAGAATTAAATCAGGTAAAAACTTATAAATTGAATGCATACAAAATACAACAATTTAGATTCAAAAAATAGAGGTTGCTTTTACTCAGGAAATATAGCAACAGCATATAAAAAAAATTGTAATGGTCTTTATATTTTTTAAAACATAATTATTTAAACACTCTGAATAAGTTTGTCATAGATGCAATAAGTTTAGAACAAGATATATGATGTTTAAAGGAAACCGGCAAATACTACTTAAAAAATAAAGTGAAAATTTTAATAAGACTTATTCATTGCATTTTTACAATGAATTTTGATAAGGAAAACAGATAAAACAGTGATATTTTTCAATGCACAAGTTTAAAATAAATTAGTAATTGGTATGAATGACTTAATTCAATGGCAAATTCAAGAAAATACAGCCAAATCTTATTCAATACTACAGTAAGACGTCTGCTAGTAAACCTTAAACAAAACCTAACTATATCATAATAAGTATAGTACATAACACCTTGATTTGCTAGAATTAACAGCAGGCATGTATGCATATTTGTTAAGAACCAAGTTCATTTTAATTTAAGAAAAATTCAAAGTAATTGTAAGCATAGCATACTTTTGTGCAGCCAAAAAGTATCAGATCAGAATCCTCAGTGATTGTCAGCTGTGTCACCCCTATTTTGTCTAGGTAAGCCATTTGAGCATCAGCTTCATATGGAGCAACAATACAATCAATAGATTTCTTTTTACATGCCTATAACAATATTTTGTTATTTGCAAACATATTAACAAAACTTAAAACAATAATAATGAAAAATATGTAGCACACAGAAATAGCAGATTTGTTCAGATTATCATTCAGAAAAAAAATATCAGAATTTGGTTATAGTTTCTGACTATACCATGCTTTTTAAGTAGTTCAGATTAAACTATAAATTATTTCCTTCTTTAAGTTTTTAAATTGTAAACTAACATTTGTAATCATGAAATTCACACTAACATACCTCTAATTACTATTTCTTCTTGTTGGGAAGTTCAAAATCTCTTTTAAATTATTATAATAAATAAAAATAAATACATTCATGGATGCTGAAGAAGCTTAATTTTTTAAGGAGACAAAATTAAAATACACATTCATATTTCTTTTTCAGAGGCACAACAGCCCTACATGGGCCCTGGTCTTCTCCAGAAGTTTTTCCCAGACCTCTCTCTGTTTGGTAACTGTCTTTCAATTTTTCGTATTCAGAATCTCCATTCTTTTTGAAGATGGTCAATCCATCTAAGGTGAGGTCTGCTATTTTTGTTGTTCCTATAGGCTTGATAAGAAGTTTTTAGCAGTTTTGATCTTTCTTAATTATAACTAGATATCCCGCCTAATTTATCCTTCAGATTTTCAAGTATTTCACAACATCAGGTTCTTTAAAGATTTTATATGATTTTGAATTTGTTTGCCTTCGATATAAGCCGTCCAATTGAGTTCAACCACAAATACTTATTATATCTCTCTTAAGAATTACAAAATGCCGACAAATATCTCAAGGTTAGAGCCCACATGTCTTAGATGCATATAATAAAACAGATCCTGTAAATGTTTTGCATTAAAAAAAAAAAAACTTTTTTTATTTTAGAAAATTAGACTTCATATATTTTTTGGGACTGTAAAAACATCTGTTTGTAAACTAGTTCTCTAAATTTAACACACACAAAAAAAATATTTCTTAATTGCTAAACATCTGCTAAAAGATTAAACACTTTCTTGATCTTACATTTCACGAGTGATGTTAATTTATGAAAATTGTCATTACTTGTCTGAAATATTAAAGAGAACTTTAAAAGATTTCGAATTATTAAGGGTGGACACATACTCACATCCCCCAACTAACAATGCCCATGAGTACATTTATATCATTATAAATATTATTAGCTTACAAATAGTAAATACATGTAGTTAATGTAATGTAACTAATATTATTTCCTTTATTAATAAATATTAATTAATAATTATGCTTAAAACAATTCCATTCATTTTACAAACATGGGTACTAAACTGGAACTTACAATGCTTAATTTAAAATTACACTTGGCTCAAATTTCTGAGGATCCTTATGACACAAAAGTATTTTATTCACAGATTTAGCGTACGTTTAAATGTTAAATAGACACAATATTTGTCACCTCCATTCAATTTAAAAGTCACTTTTCATTCAGTATAAATATATAATTTAACTAGTCAGTTATGGAATTGTTAATTAATTTAAAATGGTAACGTAACTAATATACTCGTATTTCCAAACTACTATAAGCTCAATTTCATGATAAATTTTAAGAAAACTAAAACATAAATTTAATTTTGAAAGTTTCAAACTATAATTAGGCCAATAACATTTTCTTTCTTTCAAAAATAAAAAAAATACTCAACCAGAATAACTTCTCGAGCCATTTCTGGAGTAACATCAACACATCTTTGGAAACATTCTCTTGCTTCCTTTACTTTTCCTTCACATAAAAGTTCCTTTCCTCGTTGTTTTGTCTTATCTCTATTCCTATAATATTGCAGTCAAGTTTTATTAATGCTACTAAATGAACAAATCAAATGGAAAAATATAAACTACTATAAATTACACATTCAATTCAATTACAAATAGCATAAAAAATTTTATAATCAAATACTGCCAAGTGTTATTACTTAAAGCACCTTTTAAATAATATGATGTCATCATCATCTTCATAGTTGGCCAGACAGCCCAATGTGGGTCAATGTCTTCCTCTGAAGATTTCTCCATAACGAAATCCGATTTATCTTTGATCTCCAGTGGGTGTAAAAAGATGTATCTTTTTTATTGTATTGTCATCACTCATTCGAATCACATGGGCCATCCAAATCATTTTTATGTATTTAATAATATTGGGCTGTTTATGAATCTTGTACAGTTCAAAGTTAAATCTCTTTCTCCAGTTGTTGTTTTCATTTACACGACCAAGTATACTCCGCAAAGAGAGAAAAAAAATTATGCATAGATTTTAAAATTTTGTGAAAAATTGAAATAAATAACAATAAAATAGTTTCATTTTAAAAAGCATTGATATAAAAAACTTTAACCTAGTTATTGTACTACATTAAATTTAATCCATATAAATTTGAGCTATTTTTATGCCGCTTATATAGCTAAACAATTATGTTAGTTATTTTAATTTCTTTTCTATTTCCTCCAGTTTTTTCTATTTTGTCTTGCCTCTTCCAGTGTTGTGGAATAGGTAAGTATCATTATTAATAAAATGCCAAGCTTGAGCAGAATTATTGCACTTTTCTGAGTTAACTGATGAAAATGGATCACTAGATGGATGGTTACCTAAATGTTATCCAGATGCCAAATTCAAATCTCTGAGCCAAAATAATCACGAAGTTTTTAAAGCAGAGGACAGCTACAACTAAACTATCTAGAACCGGTTAGTTACTACATTTAAAGAGCTTATTTTTAGAATAGCTAACTGTTAATTAAAAATTTTAAAACACCAAGATAAACTGCAAAATTTGTCAATTGCCTAATGATTTTAACCATGCAAATGCTACTTTTCATAAAGAAAAACCATGTTCTAATCACCAAATTGACATGTTTTCCTGATTTTTGCCAAGCTTTAATAGGTACACATCTAAAGAAAAAATACTTTAATGATAAAACAGTTATTGAATGACTTAAGTAGATATAATTTACTATTACTGCGAATAATCAAAGTTTAAAAGTTAAAATAAAGTTTGCTGAAATCCCATCTAATCTTATTAAAATCCAATTTTAAGCTTATTAAATAGGATAATAAACAAAATTTTAACACTTAGAAAAAATAAAATAAACATACTCTCTGCGCTTCTTCTCTGTAATAGCTTTAGAGGCCAAGTTACACCCATCAAAAACCATTATAGGTTTTACTCCTGCATCCAGAAGCATATTAAGCAGTTTAATACAATAAAAGACATACCTACAATTATAAAAGGCAATTATCAAGCAATAATAAACAGTATATAACAATTTAAGAACATGATCACAAGCTAGCTAAATAAGTCAAGAGTTTTAAAATATTAATGCCATAAATACATAATAAATATATAAAACAAAGAAGATTTTTCTGAATGCAAACTAAGAATAAAATTTTTTAAATAAACATCAGTAGGACTTAAATTACAAATAAAATGATTATCATTAAATAACTAAAATAATTAAAATTTACTGAATTCAATAAGAATAAATAGCAATAAATGCATTTTGTAAAACAGAATATGAAAGCAGATAAAAATACAAACAATTAGCTCAGGGAATCATTATAACCCAGAATTGGCAAGGTTTACGACAGAACCCTGGTTAAAACCGTCCTGTCCAAAACCCCTTTGTCTAAAACTGTCCAAAACCCTTTTATTCAAATTATATCACAATTTTAAAAAAAAAGATATTGTAAAAAATAAAAGGTTAATTTTTGAACAAGAAACAAAATGAAGACAAGTTTTTGTTTTATTAAAAAAGTTTGTTATTTTTAATATTGCATTATTTATCCTTTTGCATAAACATAATTTACCAGTATTAAAAGCATAAGGTATTCACTTTTGTTGTTCAATGAATTGTGGAACTTCAAAAGTTATAAATTGTTTCCTATTATATTATTTTCCTTTAGTAGGTTAAAGCAAATGATATAAAAAGTATCAAATATTTATTAATCTATGTAATTATTACATGTGTAATGGTTACACCAATTGAATTTTTACGTTTTACCAAAGTTCAAGGCTTTGGACACTTTAAGACAGTAAAACCCACTTAATACTGTACGTCCAAAATAAGTTTAGGACGTACAAAATTCCATCCCTGTTATGACCTGATTAAAATTTATTACTTTCAGCAGAAAATTTGCTGACAAATATTATGAAATAAGATATATCGTTGTTTCATAATAGTTTACTTTGCGAATAACTCTTCAAACATAAGATATAAATTTACCCATCTGTCTTTTCTCCTTTAACTAATTTTTCTGCACAGGAAAATGCTCCTTTATGGAGCCAACTGTATGCATCAATTGCAACCGTGGCTCCCGAAAAATCTTTAATATTAGCAGGTCGACATGAATTTTTGACAAATGGGAGTAATCCAGTAATACCCATTTTCGAAATTTAAAATTAAATTTTCGCGGGGCTTAGAGAGTCATTCTAAGCGGAATACAAGGAAAAGTTTCAGATGTTGGCGAAAAAATAAACAAATGAGAAAAAAGAAATACAGTTGCAGTTACATAAATATGACATAATTAAACAGGTTTATCCAAACTGTACTGTTGAAAATGGAGAATCTGATTGGTTAATTTTCCTTTTGAAAATATATTTCACCAATCAGGATCTCAATCTCTCATGATCGTGATTGTATTTGCGTGAATCAAAGACAGTGAGAATAGCTCATAACTTAAAACATTGATGAGCTGGATGGAAAATTATATTATTAAAGTTTGGCATCATATTAAAATGTAAATAAACAAGCAGCTCATTGCCCTGTCGTTCCCGTGATCATGTCTATGTCTAACTAATTTTTTTTTTAAATTTAAATTTATTTGTTGCTTTAAAACTAATTTTTTTTTTAAATTTAAATTTATTTGTTGCTTTAAAACTATATTTTATTCGATAGTTAAATTCTAATCTTATGGTTACTGATGTTAATTTGTATTTTAGCGTTATTGATTTGAATTCTGATTCAAACATTGCTTCATACATTCAAAGATCTTCAAATCTTTCAGGAAGTTTTTATGATATAAATGGTCTATAAAATGCATTCCATGTTGAAAAAATGCGTCACTTTTCGGACATTATTTAGTTTACCCTTGAAATTAGAAAATAAAATTATTAATTTAAAAACTAAAATAAATTTTTATAGTACTCTGCGAGGAAACTTCAAATCAATCTCTTCTAAAGATATCGATTTTTTTAATTCTTTACTTGGACCTAGTGGAGTAATTCAAAACTCTGATGAATTAGTTGCATATAATACAGACTGGCTTCGAAGTCATCGTGGTAAATTGCATCCTATCTCATTATTTTATTGTTATTATCAGTTAAAATAATGATTTGATTTTAGTTTACAAATCCTACAATGAGTAAGAGAATTATTCAAGAAACTGTTGACTTAATCCATTTTCATAATGTGGGTATTAACTCAATCTCACCTCAGTGTAAAACCATTTTTACTATGAAAACCTAATTTCTCAAGTCTAAACCAAGTTCTCATGATATCAGGAGATATAGATAAAGTTAATTACCATACATTGTAATCAATTTAAATATTTGGAAATAATTTGTGAAATATTAATTTCTCATCAGAAAATAAAACCTACTTACGATTTCAAAATTAAATCAGATTAGCTTCATGTTAATTTTTTGTCTACCTAATGATTTATATGTTTTTAAATAGTGTCTTAAAGTTTAAAAAGTTTTAACGAACTATACATAAAACTTTTGAAATTTTAAAAACCTATATCTGTGTGTAATGGCTGATTCAGTATGTTTTTATTTAATAATATCATACAATGCTTTCATGATTTCTAATGGTTTTATCAATAAAGGAAAAAAAAAAAGAAGCTAAACCTTATTATTGAATATTTTTTTAAACTTATTATATGTGAAGAATAATCCAGCCGATTTACACCCTTACATTCTTCAGATGAAAGAAAATAGGAATATAATGGAATTTTAGTCATAATATGATGATATGGGAATAATAATATAATGGAATTGTGAATGTATATTTAAGCATTTTCATAGCAGTATGATTTCATTACATCTTCATGGCTTTTTTGTATTCATCATAAATTACTGTTACACATTTTATAACCATATAAATGAATAACAATTGAAATTTTCTATTTATTTATATCTAATGCAAGGTGATATGTTTAATACAACTTCCTTCATCTTAGGGCATTACTTTAGTTTCATATAGTAAATAGTCCTGGTTAACACGGGTAAGATTTGACACACATTTAATCAAACATTAAACAAATTATTTTACACATTTAGCAGATTTACAAATTATTAATTACACATTTAATTATTTATGTAATAAAATGTGTAAATAATAATCTGCTTAAAATTAAGCTTATTAGCCAAATGTAGAAGCCATTTCAGCGTAGTGAAGCTATTCTGTAGACTTTAATTATGAATAAATTGAATGAGGTATTTGAGGTTCGACTGTAAAAAATGGTACGTTTAAAAGTTAAAATTTTTAGTTTTTCTAAAATTTCTGATTTTTTCCTGGAATAATAAAATAAGGTAACAAAATTTAGATGATAAAATATTGATGAAGTTTTTTTTAAAATGCTCAATATGTTTATTCTTGCAAATGTTAAATGTTTAAACAATACAGAAATTTTTTTTTATCTGTTTAATTTCACTACTTTTACTAACTAGCTAAGTATGTTTTTTTTAATTATTTTTTTTAAAGTTTTGGTCATAGTACATTGTGCTTCTAAAAAAAGTGCGTTGCACCTCTGTAAAATTTTTTTTATAGAAAACTATAAAAAACTTAATTTTTCTTTAAAAAAATGGATTTAGTGCCTTTTTTTTTTCTTTTAGACAGATATGTGTATTACATAGTATAGTTAACTGCTTTTGCTTTCTTTTTAGGCAGTTGAAAACAATGTATTTTTCTTTATATAGATAATGAGGAAACATGAAAAAAAAAATTAGCAAAACAGGTAAATAAAATACAAAAATGAGCAGACTATAGTTCCAGTTCTATAAAGCAAGAATTCCCTAGTGTTCAAGGAAATAAAAAAACTTTTTTTTGTTGTTGTTGGAGGGTTTGGCTTATTAAGCTAAAATGCCTGAACCTAGGGTTCCCACATATCTTGAAACTTCCTAAATGTTACAAATATTTTTTGTGTGTGTGTTTTTCCTTAAGAATTGCCTATCAGAATTATGAATTAACAAAAATTGAAATAAATATAATCGCAAATTTATAAATATATTATAATTTATTCACGTTATAAAAAGTTTAGAATCTTGTAAATGAACAGCATGTAAATCTGAGGAACAATGGTGCCACCAACAGTTCTGTGCCTAGGACCCCCAGATTTCTGAATTACACCCTGTTTTTTGGTGCTTTCTAATATTGTCTTGTTATTTTTTTTTTCAATACACAGTGCAAAGTTTATCTTATCTTCATAATAAAACATGACTTTTTGATATTCCAATATCTTTTTAATGATTGTACAAAAATTTAATGGTTTCTAGCTTAAGTCTTATTCTCAATATGACTAATAAAAGACTAACAAATTTATTATTTATACCCACTAATAATGTCTCTCATTGTTTTAGGTTCTAGCACAGTAGTTCTTAGACCGAAACTTAGTGAAGAAATATCAGAAATCTTAAAGTATTGTAATGAACATAACTTAGCAGTTTGTCCTCAGGGTGGTAATACTGGTCTTGTAGGAGGAAGCATTCCTATATTTGATGAAATTGTTTTATCCTTAAGTTTGATGAATAAAATCACCTGTTTTGATGATAATGCTGGTAAAATTCTTTTGATTTTAAAATAAATCTTACACTTAATTATAAAGTATTATCATTTATCCTCATCTTTATTTTTTCTTTTTGAATTCTCTAATACATGGTTCTTGAATTAATGAATCCAATTCCAAATTGGGATTTTGGTTTCCTGAAAAACTTGTACCTGAACCTGAATTTTTCTGCTTTGTAAAACATAAATTTGAGTAGATCTAATTTTTTTTGTTCCTGATGCATTTTCTAAAATTGGATTTCTTAACATTTCAGCTTGAATCGGAAAATCATTTTTTTCACAAAGTTATTTAATGGAGGTAAAGTGCTTGTCAAGAAAATTTTTGCTCAAATTTGCCTAAATAACATGGCAGTTTAAGGGTTAAACTGTTTGTGATCCAAATTTGGATTTCGGGATTTTTAAAAACATGGGTTATAACATACTTATTTCTACACTTTAGAACATAATTTTATTTAAAAAAGCATACAGGCATTTTTTAAATTGCTGGAATTGTAATTTTTCTGTGTTTATAAAATTTTCTCTAGTTTTTTTAAATGTATATAGATTTTTTTTCCTTAAAAATAAATTGATAAATATGCCATAGCTCATTAAAAAATATTTACTAATTAAAGTAATTTTCTTTGGTAATCTGAAATAAACCTTTCATGTAAGAAGCGTTATATGCCTGTTTTTTCTTCCTATTTTTTCTTATCACTAACATGTTTTTAAAAATTCATAATGTTAAAGTTAATTATTTTTAACATTCAAATATCAAAAATGAATTCAGAAAATTTTTAAACCAGGTGTCTTATTTTGTATCTAAATATCATATATAAAATCTAAAAAGTATCATGCACATTATATGACTCTTTTTAGAACTATATATGAATATATTGACAACTAATTGTAGTTATTGAAATGTTTTATTAATTAAAGTATCATATTTGACTTAGCTTGTTAAAATTTCACGAATTAGCATCATATTTAAATAATTGCTTCTTAGGTGTTCTACAATGTCAAGCTGGTTGTGTTCTTGAAAATTTAGAAAATTTTGTGAATGAGAAGGGTTACACTGTTCCGGTAGATTTAGGTGCTAAAGGAACGTGTCAAATCGGTGGAAATATCTCTACAAATGCTGGAGGTTTGAGATTTATTCGCTATGGCTCTCTACATGGAAATGTACTTGGCTTAAAAGCTGTAAGTTTATTATTATAAAATACGTCTTTTATTAGTTAGAAAAAATTGTTTAGGAATTATTTGTGTTATCTTTATTTTTGGAAACTAGTTGGATAAAATTGTATTCATACTATCTCAAAAAGTTTTGAAAGAAATCAGAAAAATGTTGTTTAAAGAATGATTATTCAATTTACAATATTTCTTTTCTGTTTCGAATTTGATGTTTTCACGGAATGGCTGATTATTTTATTTTAAAACTTACTTGAGTTTCTATCGATTTTTGAATGTACTTCTTTGAAAGTTAGGTAGTATTTTTTAATAAGATTTTGTATAACCTTTTGGTATAAACCTTCATTAGCAATATGAAGCTCTACAAAGTTTTATGCAAAGAAAAACGGAAACGTATATATAATTTTTTTTTCTTTTCTAAAGTTTTTTGTTGATTGTTTTTTTTCAAATTTATTTATTACTTATAAAACACTTGTTAATACAAAGCTCAATGTAGTTATGATATTTTTAATATGATTTTAGAATTTTCTGTAAAAAATTCATGAATTTTTTAGTGCTGTTTATCTTATATAGGTTTTACCTAATGGTCAGATATTGGATTGTATGAATTCTATGCCAAAAAATAATACTGGTTATGATTTAAAGCACTTGTTTATTGGTTCTGAAGGAACACTTGGAATAATTACTGATGCTGCTATACTTTGTTATCCTAAAAGTCTTGAAACTTCTGTAGCTTTTTTGGGTGAGTTAATTATTTTCTCTTTTAGATTACTGAAATGATTTGGACTTTTATTGTTTATAGTTCTTGATTTTTATAAATGTTATTTTTTTAAAGGTTTACCATTATCCATGGAGACACGTATTTCATGTTTTTACAAAAAATTCAAATGCTCTAAAACTATTTTTTAAAAAATATATGACGCTTAAAATCGTCTTCTAGAAAAAACAAAAATGCTTTCTTGTCCTGCAAGACAGATAATCTGGTTTTTAGTCTTTCTGTTATTTCCAGCTATAATGATTGGTAAGAGTTAGGAAAAAAATTTTAAATTTAGTTTTCAATTTGTTATCCCTAAAGTGAATAGTTTTTTAAAATTAATTTTTTACACATTATAAAAACAGATAATCTGGTTTTTAATATTTTTAGTCCTTCTGTTATTTCCAGCTATAATGATCGGTAAGAGTTAGGAAAAAAATTTTAAATTTAATTTTTTACACATTATAAAAATATATATTGATATTAATGTAAATATACTCTATAAAAAGTGCGGTATTCTGTGTTAGCCATTAATTTAGACTTTGCCAGATATGCGTTTATCATAACCAGACTTAAGGTAGTCTCAATTAAAAAAAACTTATTTAAAAAAACTTATTTTTTAATGTTTTAATTTTAGAAATAACACTTTCTTCAACTATGAAAATTGAATGTAACTATAAAATTTAAAAACTTAACTTGTCATAAAATAAATCAAAATTATTAATCTTAATTTTAATAACTATTAATAAAACTATCCCAAAATAAAACAAAAATTATTTTAAATTATATTTTAATTTAAAATCAATTTAAATTAATTAATTTAATTTAAAATTATCATAACACTCAGATTGAGACCTACTAAAACTTCATAATACACATATTAAAAATCCTGAAAATTGTTTATAAATGTTATGATACATAAAAATTTGTAAATACGTTTTTAGAAAAAGGAAATTTAAAATTAAAATGCATTAGTAGCCTAGATGTATTTTCATATTTTACTTTTGTCTAAATATTAATTTATTATAAGTTTACTATAATGTTGTTTAGTTAAATTATGCTTAAATTTTACTGCATTATTTTCAAGATCATAGTAAATTTACTCACACTAAGTAATTGTATTTTCTATTATGTATATGTATTATGGTATATTATTATATTGTATATTAGTTATAGTATTACTCAGCTTACTTTTTTTTAAAGGAACTTTATTTATTTTAGGATGCAATTCATTTGACAATGTACTTGGCACTGCAAAAGTTATTAGACAAAGGCTGGCAGAAATACTATCATCACTTGAAATGTTAGACGATGAAGCTGCTGATACTGTTAGGGATAATTTGAAATTAACGGTTCCTATTGAGAGACACCCATTCTATGTTCTAGTTGAAATATCTGGTAAAGTATACTTTTTTTAAAATCCTAGACCTTTAACCTGAATTGATATTCAATGGGTTTTCTCACTAAATGTTAAAGTATACAAAACCTGAAATTTTATTTTTTTTGTAAATGATTCCAAATTGGTTTTCGAATATTTTTTATAACTTACACAGTGTAGCTGAAAAATGTTTTGATATACCATATTATATTTGAAGAAATTTATAAATAAAACACTCTGGACACTTTTGACTTGACTATAAATTTGTGATACAGCAACAGAGTTATAACTTGTGAAAAAATTAGAGCTATATTTTTTAAAATAAAGTGTAGGAAAGTAGAGTTTCATTATTTTAGAATTAGGCAAAAATAACTTAAGTATATATTTTTTTAATTCATTATTTCAGCATTCAATGTTTTTATATCCTGCTATTCATTAATGATATCTTTAAATGACTGTGCAGACTACAAATTCTATGACATAGATACATTATTATTATAGTCGAATCTTGATCCGCAATTCAGGTATCTTTTGTTTTTATGTATGTATCGTCTTATTTTAAGGGTCTGGTTACAAATGCTACTCCTATAATCTTAATAATGCTCGTTTAGATCATCATTTGGAACTAGAAGATTCCCACATCTATTTTCAGAAATTCTACCGACATTAGAGAAAGATATTGAAGTTATGTTACGATGTGAGAAGACAGACAGTAATTCTTGATGCTTATGACGAAGAAGAAAATGAAGATTTGTTGCAGTTTGGGTAATAGCACATTTGATGTTTCTGTGTCAGTTGATGAAAATTATGAAACCTATGGTGCTCTTGATTCAGGCTGAAGAAGTGCAAAGTGATACGAAGGAAGTCGGCGAAACAGAACCATAAGCAGTGTCAAGGTATGCAGAAGGCCACAAAACCTATGAAACTATGAGTAACTTTTTGTATTTTCACGCACTTACGGTAAATGAACAGCTATCTGTAACAAATGTTAAAAATTTATTGTTTGTACTGAGAAGTGAAAACTGCGTTCAAACCAAAATTTCCAAATATTTTAAGTAAATAAATGTGTTTTTTCATTTTTCTTTTTCATTGTAACTATTTTTTCATTGAGTGCATATTTTTCTAATACTTTTAATATATTTTCAAGTTATTATCTGATGTTTTATATTGATCAGCATTCTTTGTTTTCCCATATCTATTTTCCTCAATGAATGGTCCTGTGATAAATGATTGATTAAGGTTTGTATTAATATTTTATGTCCCTGTATTAATTATTTATTGTACCTATACCATAATTTTGGCAATAAGTCCTGGAAAAATGGAAATGGAACCCCCTGTTTCTTCTTTTATTATTATTTTTTTTCAGCTATCTAAATAATTTTAGCAACAAAAAACATCTGTTCATAAAGAACTCTATGAACTTCCTTTAAATGAAAACTTTATTTAAATAAGAATTTTATTGAAATTAAATATTAAAAAATTTTATTCAGCTATTAATTTGTTACTTGAAGTTTTATTAAACTTATATGTATTTCTTTTTTTTGAAAAATCAATTTGGTTTACTTTCACATTTTTAAAAAAATTAATTACTTTCATATTCTTGTTTTTAATGTCTAATTAACTAATTAAATTAAGAGGGATAATTTTTATGAAAAAAATTCTTTTGAAGCTCTAATCTGTTTAAATAAAGGAATGGAAATAAATGATTAAATTTATTTTTATGAAACCACCATACCGTATAGTTTGTTAAGAATGATCTGTTTAAATGCATTAAAATTCATTCAGACTAAATTTTTCTTATCTGAAAATTAGAATCAGTAGAGAAATTCTGAAAGATAAATTTAGAAATGATTGAAAGAAATCTCTGTACCTTTAAAATAGTTAAATAAAATTGATTTATTAATTAAAATGGTAACTTCATTCTGAACAAACTTTTATTCTCAAAAAGGTATTAATTTAATTTCATGTCACTATACTAACTTATAATGCTCATTAATATAAGATTAAATTTAATTAGACTAATTCTTTTTCAAAAAGGTTTAAAACTACTTATCATGTTTTTAACACAATTTTATTTTTCAGGTTCAAATCGTCAACATAATGAAGAAAAACTAAGTGAATGCTTGACATATTTAATGGATCAGAACCTTGTCAATGATGGTACTGTTGCCTGTGATTTTAATCGTATTAAGGTAAATGTTTGTTAATAATACATATTTCGCACAATTTAATAGAGTTCCTGTGAGAATTTATAAAATTAAGAACATTAATTTGAGGCATCAGAGTCTTGTACAGGGTGGTTTCTAAATACTGTAACACTCTAAAAATAAGAATTAATTTGAATTGTTTTGTGAAACAATTGCTCTCTCACTATTCCTGTGAGTGGCACTTTCTATAAGTGCAAACAATCTATATTATATAAAACGCTAATACGTATGTATCAATAAAACCGATGATATTTCTTTTCTCGCTTTGGCAACAGTTTTCATTTTTAATTGAGAGGATTCGGTGCGCAAGAGCACATAGTGATCATCATATGGCTAATCTATATTATATAAAACGCTAATACGTTTTAATTGATAGGCTTCAGTGCGCAAGAGCACGTAGTGAGCATCATATGTCTAATCAGGTGAATTCTCACCGAATTATCAAAAAAATTCTCACAAAATTATCTTCATCGAAGCCGATGCTTTACATCCGGCGTTCAGTACTATTTTATATTGTTTTACAACACATGGTTTTAGCCCTCTGGTGGGAAAAACTTTAAAACAAAACTTGCAACAGTTACTTTTCTCAACAACTGAAATTTAGAATAGTGTGATTAAGAAAAATATGCGAACTGTTTGCAATTTCAAATTAATATTGAAATGCACAGGTTTAGAATTTTCTACATTGTAAAGTTTTCGGAACTTCAGTGTTCAAAAAAGTATACAAAAGCTAGACGTTAAGAACATATCCAATGAGCGAGCAAAGAGAGCATCGGATTGCGAAGCAGTCCGAAATGAACTGCAAAAGCAGTTCTGGGAGTTGGCGAGCGCCAGCGAGCAGTAGGCGAAGCCTCCTAGTTTTTGTTTAAAGCAAAATACTTAGAATCAGTTTAAAGAAAAAATTGAAAACGTTAATGGTTAAGCAGCTTTTCGATTGAGGATTTTCTGCAGGTAGAATCTTTAAGCAAATGAAAACTCTAAGCAAATGAATATATGATGCGAAATTTATACGATTGATAAATGCTTAACATATTTAATGCAGAGTCTTGGTTTTGATGGCACTGTTGTATGTGATTTCAAATTATATTAATGGAGATATCTTTGAATAACATAAAATTTTCACCATTTATTGAGTTTATAAATATACTGAATGCTTAACATATTTGATACATCATGGTCTTGTTAATAATGGTACTGTTTGTTGTGATTTTAACCAAATTAAGGTAAAATAATCTAAAAATGATCCAGATTCATACGAAAATCCTTGAATTATTTTAAATCAAGATTTTGTTTAGTTGAATTTAATTTCAATTTAATTAAAGATCATATTGTTGGCTTTAATTTTAATCATTTGAAGGGAAAGATAGGTAAATGATGTGGTATTTATAATAAATTCCTGTATTTGAATATTCAAGGAATTTTGTTTACTGTTATTTTTTAAAATATTTTGACTATGTATAGAAATTCACTATTAAAAAATGTGTATTGGTTAACTAAATGTGGTTGATTCAAAATGATTCTTTCTGTATATTTATTACACTTTTTTATTCTTATTTTCATGATTCATTACAAAAAGCTCATAACTAAGTTTTATTTTTTTTATCATTTAGATGAAGGTTTGTAAATATATAAAGTTAATAATGTGAAGCAATTTTCATAGAAAAGTCATTCTGAATGGTGCTGTTTTAGAATATTTGTTTGACAGCAATATTGTTTCACATATATAATTTATTTGTATTAAATATGTTATGTATTTATTGATTTATTTGAATTATGAATTATTTGAATAGAAACTTTTCTATAATTATTGTTCTTTGCAAAAAGCTCATTACTAAGTTATAATTTTTAAAAAAAAATTTAGATATTTAAAAATGTGGAAAAAAAATGTAAACATGATGATATAGGTAAAAATATTTTTCATAAATTCAGTCTTTTGAAGTATGCTGATTTGTTTGTGTAGCAGTCTTGAGCATAGTTGCCAAAAATGTCATTTATGATTGTTCGAGTTTAAATTATATGATTATAAATTCATAAAAATTTTAGTGTTGTTAGCTTTTTGTTGGATTTCAGTTAATGATCATGATATTTTATGAGTAAGGTATGAATGAAAGCTTTATACAATAACTGCTAGGCCTTATCCTTTCTATATTGTGTGTACTATGACATAGTTTAATGTGAACAAAAGCACTGAACAGGTTGCACAAGAGCAAACATTGTTTGTGTGCCTTCTCGATTACCTACTTATTTTTTTATGCTATAGGCTCTATTTAAATTTAATTCTTTGTTTACATGTTCACTCTACGACGTTTTTAATTTATAGGCTTATGAAATGGAACTTTTTATGATTGCTAAACTTTTAATTTATGAATTTTTTTATTGGAACTGATTTTTTTAATGAACTTTATTACGCAAAAATATTATATAATATACAAGAAATTTTTTCTCTTCACCAGATTTTTTAGTCTAGCTATTTATTAGTGATGCCTACTGTATATTGCGAAAAAGCTGATTTTTGTTCATTTTAAATCTTTGTAAGTTTTCAATGTGCATGAATCAATATTTTTCTGAAAGGTAAATTTGTATATATCAAAATAAACGTTTCCAGTTTCAGGTAAAAATATAAGTTTTACAATAATCTTAAGTATTTCATTTTTTTGCAAGAAATTTTTTTACACTCTTGAAATCAGGAAAACCTAATCCAATCTGAAACCAAATAATAACATTTACAATTAAATTAAAAAGCATTTGCTAGGTTTGTTTTGAGTAACACATTTAATATTTCTATTTTAATCCGTATATCATCAGATTGTACCTTGAAGGTGTTTCTAACAATCAACAATCACTTTTCGCTTCCTATCAGTTTTTTTTTTTTTTTTTTNGTTTTTTTTTTTTTTTTTTGCGAACAAGCGGATTTTAAAAATTTTATCTTTTTTTTTGTCATTTATGACACAGCAATAACAGTTTTAATTTTTCGATAGCGTTTTTCTTTCTGCTACTTTCTTTACATTAATTTGCTACCCATAGTGGATATACTTTTCAACTTCATTTTTAACAAGGTTTTTTAAAAGTAATTTCTGCAACATGAAACTTTTTGAAAGTGCTACAAACTCCTTCAACTTTGTTGACCTTGACGTTTTTTCGAAGAATTTAGTTTCTAAGTAACGTCATTATTTTTATTTAATATTAATTATTTTGATCAATATTTTAAATAATTCTTTCTAAAAAATTAACTACAAAGCTAAAAGTTAAAGTCCCAAAGAATAATGGAATATCAATTCACGAGTTTTAGAAACTGAGATAACATTCTTAATGAATCTGGATTGATCTTTCAGAAAGAACAGAAATTCTGTTTAAAATGTACTAGTCATATACTCAATTTTTAGATAAATATTTCGTATGAATTTTTATTTTGATGAGAAAGTTACAGTTAAAAATTGCATTAGAAAATATTCTATATTTAAATTCAGTATTTTTTCTTTAAATGTTTTTAAAACATTTTGATTGTATTTAAAATTATTTGTTTATGAAAAAAGATAAAAGAGATTACATAACTCCACTCTTTTCTTAAAATTATAAATCGGCAAATTTTTTTTTACTGTTTTCGAACTATAACATTAGAGCATTTTGAAGCATACTCCAAAAAACTCCAAGTCGGGTAACTTACCAGCTGAACACCTTCAATTTTTAGATATCCTGTTTTAAATCACTTATTTTTAGATTGAGATATTGTGTTGTTTAAAAAAAACAATTTGTATTATATTGCCTCTTAGGGTATCTGGGCAGTTCGAGAACGAATAGCGGAAGCTGCACTGCAAGAAGGATACTACTATAGTTATGACCTGTCATTACCACACAAGGATTTTTATGAAATTGTGGAAGTGATGCGCAAACGTCTAGGTAAAAAGGTTACTCGTTGTGCAGCATGTGGCCATTTAGGAGATGGTAATGTTCATTTTATTGCTACTACGCGAGAATTTGATCCTGAAGTTCTCTCTTTAATGGAACCATTCATATATAAATGGACTGCTGAAAGAAAAGGGAGTATAAGTGCCGAGCATGGTATTGGATATCAGAAGGCAAAATGTTTGTGTTTAAACCAAACAGACAATGCTATTGCCACCATGAAGATGCTAAAGAAATTATTTGATCCAAAAGGAATTCTAAATCCATATAAAGTACTTCCTTAGAGAAGATTTGGAACTGATATCAGTAATTGATTACCAATTTGTTACCGATAATAATTACTGAGCAATACATTATGTATAATCTTGATTACATTGTAATCAAGATCACTTAAAATTATGATTATCAATAATTATGTATTATTACATGCTTTCAGGTTCTTGTGACTATTAGATTTTGGTTGTGGGTAATATCATGGGCAATCAACTTTTAATTGTTGGTATAATTACTTGGTATCTTGTAATCACAATTGCTAAAGATCATAATTATTTATGATCGTTCATTTTGATTACTCATAATTGATTTTGATTACTTATTGTTTCTTTTGTGAGTACAGGTAATTTTGATGATCACTTTTTTATAATCACTAATTATGATTGCTTGCAGCCATGCTTACTTGTAATCACAGTTACTTATCATGATTACTTATAATCGTTGATTTTGATTACTTTTAATCATGTTTACTTGTAATCGTTTCTTTTTGTGATTCATTTGTGATTACCTGTAATCACAATTACTAATTCCAATACTAATAATTCCAATCACTAATTGTGGCTAACTGTCATGCTTGCATGTAATTAATTACCTTTTGCCCAACTCTTCTTTAAATAATGTTTGAATCAAAAATTTCATGATATTGTTTATATTAATATGTTATTTAGTTGTATATATTATTGAGTTACATATATTTGATATATACTTAAATAGTATTTGATGCACGGAATTTTTTTTTTTTTTGTATTTAAATCAACTCGGCAATGTTATTGCCTGTTTAAAGTCAATTGAAAAGTTATTTTATCCAAGAAGTGTTCAAAACCTGTGTTACTCATAGGAGACACGTGTTATTCATAGCAGACACGTGTTATTCATAGCAGACACATGTTATTCATAGAAGATACATGTTATTCATAGGAATGGTAGGGGAATGCTTTACAAATTTCTGCAGGTATTGTGACTTTTTAAAGTTAATAATGTATGTGTTTTCCATACGTCATATTTATTATTTTTATTGTTGAATGTCTTTTTACGAAAGTGCCAGAGCTTTCAATACTGTTCATACAAATTTCTGGTTTTAAAATGGTTTAAATATTCTCATCATAATTGAAATTTTAAGTATTTTCAAAATATATTTTTATTCATTCATAAATTTCACATTTTTGAATTTTATACAAGAGGTATGGGACCAAATACTGCAATTGTTAACGAGTTAATAACTTATATTTTTAATGTGCTTTTTATTTTTATAGTTGAATGTGTTGTGACCTAAGTGCCTGAACTTGATGTGTTCAATACTGTTTACACATATTTTGGGTTGTAAAATGAAATGTATTCTCTTTACTTGATTGACAGTATAATAAAGATTTTATGTAAATTATATATGCGTATTATTTTTACAGTTGACTGATTTATCATCAAAATGCCAATACTTGATGTATTCAGTACTGTTTGTACATATACGAAGCCTTCGGGGTACTAAGAGAGTTAATTTGGCATTTGTCCTCTCTCTCAATAGAAAAGGTTTTGTTTTATGGCTACCGCGGCCGGTACCCCCGGAAGACGTCGGCTTCGGTGGTCATATTTTAATTTTAATTCCATTGATTTTTTATTGCTTCAATTATTCTTTCTTTTGAAAATTCTGCTGCTTTTAAGCGCATTTCTTTCAAAGATAGTTTTGTTAATTTAGTATTTAATATTTTGTATTCTTTTACTCAAAATTTCAAACTTGTAATATTGTATTCCATCTTATATCATCATGATTCACAATAAGTCTATAAATTAGTTCTAATTCTTAAATATTGTATTTGTTTTAAATACATGCAAAAATAAAGTTAATTCACTAGCAAAGCATTCAAGTAAATATGTTTTTAGTTTGCATTAATTTTTGCTGAACAAAAGAAATTTTTAGAATTACTTAAGTTAACAAACAAATTTTAAAGCGGAACAACTCAGAAACTATGTATTAAAGGATATGTGCTTTAAAGCTTATGATCAGAAAATATTTTAATGCAAACTCTGTGTTACATATATATTTATGACAATTTAAAAAGTATGCAGATGAAGATACTTTCGTGAAAAGATGCTATTGCACATATTTTTTTTTTCACAACTAAAATTGAAACAAAACTGTGATATACTTAATACTAAAAAATTTCATTTATAGCCCTACTATGGAATGTAGTGTTGTTATTCCAAATAATTTTTTTCAGTTTTAAAAGAAGGTGCAGTTGAGGGATTGTGTTTGCATAATTTTGTAATTGCTACCCTTTGAGTATTAGAAAATTTTAATTCATTGGCAGTAATATTGCAGCAATAGGAATATTAATTGTTCCAATTTGTTTTATATAATTTAGATACTGTAGTCAAAGTATTTCAGTTTATAAAAGATTGTGTTTTTAATGTAACTTGAGTTTATCTGCTTGGACTTTGAATTTAAAAACCCAAAAAGTTTAGAATCGTTTTAATGCTAGAAGTGATTTGAATTTGGAGAGATTAAAACCTGCTAGCTTAAGACTTTTCAAAATTCAAGCAACCATTATCTTATTTACTTTAAAGGTTTTGAATGATTTGAATTACATTTGAGAATTAAAAATATCAATATCTTCTTTACTTAGAGTGTTTTTTTTTTAATTTTGAGAGATTTGAATTACATTTGGAATTGGAAATAGCCATTAATTTATGGTTTGGAGGTAATTATAGATTTACTCCACTTTTGGTTTACTTTTAAATCTTATGTTTATTTTGCTCAATAAATTAGTCAATTTATTAACCAGATTTGTTGGCAAATTTATTGATCAATGGTTTTGACCAATGAATGGTGTTCATACATTTCTCAAGCCATTAGTTGAATATTGAGGTCATGAATACTTAACATGAAAGTACAACTTTATATTTAATACGGCTTAATAGCCTCACCAAGTCAGGGTATTATTGGGCATAAACTCGTCGCATGATGGTCCTTAAAAAAGGAGAATCACAACAACCCGGAGTGATCAAATATAAATATTTAACTTAACATATGAGATGGAATAACAGCACATCAATTTACCATGGCTCCCATGGCATGTTTGGAGGGAGGGTTGCTTTTTCAGAGCTCTTTCATTAGATGGCAGGAATGTCATGTATAGTTTGTCTACGGTAAGAACTCCATCCACCACAAAGTCTGAGATCATCTGCTATTGAAACAAGAATAGCGCATTTCAGGGAGGGTAGCTTCTCTTCACTCTAGGTCTAACGCAATAGACCAGAGAAAAAGATTACCTTTCTCTAGCTGATCCGAGCCAAAACTTGTCTTTAACAGTCACCCCACACCCCTACTTTAAATAGTTATATCTCGTTACCATAGTCACCGACATGGGTCCAGACGAATGGGTGGGGGAGTTCTTACTTTAGACAATTTTGACCCCAGTCAAATGACATAGACATCACATGAGCTGTCACCCCTCACTCCAAACTTCCTCACCACAACCAACGAGAGGATTTTCTGCCACAACAGATTTAACATGCACCTTGCTGGGTATACAAGCCGGATGTTTAGTCCAGCTTCTGGGATCGAACTCACTATCTCCTGCTCTCCACCATCCGTGTGAGTGACGCATTAACCCTCTATGGTTGTGAGCTTCATGCAATTCCATGAAATCTTAATTTTATAAAATTCGTCCACGAGGATCATTTATTTGGAAGACTGCAAAAGCAGCATGTGGATTAAATGCGTAATGATTAAAAATAGTATGATGGTGGGAATTTGAAAAATGAGTACCCAGAAGAACTCCAACCATCACGGCTGGAATAATTACTTGTCCCACTGTGTGCTCGGCCATATCTAACTATGTATTTTTAAATATCAATACTTAAGTACCCTTTTTTTAAAAATCATATTTTTAACAATGTTGTTTATGTTATAGGGAATTTGGGCTGTCCGAGAAAGAATTACAGAGGCTCTCTTACAGGAAGGGTGTGGCTACAAATATGACATATCTCTACCCCACAAAGATTATTATGATATTGTGAAAGTGATGCGAGATCGTCTCGGCAAGAAAGTCACTCGCTGCGTGGGTTATGGACACATAGGAGACGGTAATGTTCATTTTAATGCCACAACCCGGGAATTCGATCCAGAAGTTCTTTCTTTAATCGAACCTTTTATATATGAATGGACTGCCGAAAGGAAAGGAAGCATAAGTGCGGAGCATGGTATTGGATATAAGAAAACAAAGTATTTACACCTCAATAAAACAGACAATGCTATTGCCACTATGAAGTCTCTTAAAAAGTTATTTGATCCAAAAGGTGTACTTAATCCGTATAAAGTGATTCCTTAAAATATTTTTTAACTGAAATTTGTATATTACTTTTGTAATTACATTTGTAATTTTATCAACATTAATGTGTTGAGATTGAAATACTTAATATTTTTTATGTAGGGGAGAGTCGGGTAGCCCCGCCCACTTAAGGAGTATTGCTTATATTTCTGTATAATATTGAGTAATAATCAATATTTTTGTATTTTTCTATTGTTTTATCATCTAATTAAGTAATGCAAAAAGAATAAACCAAAAAAAGAATAGTTTAACTTAAAAAAATAGAAATTTAAAAAAATTGGCTACTGTATTCAACATATATTCAAAACTATTGTTTACCACACTACCAGCTGCATAAATACTTGAAACTTTGAAAATAATCTTTTTTTAATATAATAATTAATGTCCGATGGCCCATTGACTTGAAAAAATATTCTATACACATGAAATTGACAGTGGGCGAGGGTACCCGACACTCCCCTAAGTTTTTTTACAAAGAGAAATTGCTCAGGCTAAAAAAAATGGATAATGCTGCTCTCCTGGTACCTGTCCTTTTATTAATGTAACATATGTATGTTATTTATTACTAAAGTGCTAGAAATTGAAGTACTTATTACTGGTTTATACGAAATTTTTTTTGTAAAATAAATATGTTTATTTTTGCAGTTGATAATAAAATATTGTTGAAAAAATGTGTCCAAATTTACAGTTTATAATAAACATTGTTGCAAAAATATGTTGATATTTGCAGTTTATAATAAAACATTGTTGCTAAAATGTGTTTATATTTGCAATTTATAATAAAACATTGTTACAAAAATGTGTTCATTTTTGCAGTTTATAATAAAACATTGTTACAAAAATGTGTTCATATTCGCAGTTTATAATAAAACGTTGTTAAGAAAATGTGTTAGTTTGCTTTTAAATTTACCATGTCAGTATTTAAAAACAAATGATGATTCTTTTTTTAAAAAAAAGTTCTGTTTTATTCGTAGTACTGCAAATATCAATCATTAAATATTATTAATATAGTTTACAGCAATCGTGCCTTTAATGATCGAAGCATAAAATTGAAAACTTGGTACACATGTACAATTCGAATCAAGTTTTAATTTTGGATGGAAGCCCATAATAATAATTTCATACGTTCAAAATTGAGCGGTGTCTTAAAATTTTAATTTCTTTTTTTTTTTTAGGAGAAGTTCTNAATTATTTTTTTTTTTTTTTTTTTAAATTTCAATTCATGTCACTTGGGGAAATCTATGTCAATTACTCACTCCATTCCCCCACTATTACTTCTAAATTATTTTAAGATAAAGCAGATTGTTACATTAAAAGTATCATTTTTAATAAATATACGCCAGATTTCCTTAATAATATATATATTTATTTAAACCAAATTTATGGACTAACTAGTGGTAAAGTATTTGCAACTTTCTTTTTTATAATAAGTCAAGTGATTACAGTAAAAAAAGAAGAGTTTCTTCAGAAAAATTAATTCCTAAGGTATTTTTTGACTAATTACTTTTATAAATGTTACCTAAAATTTCCTTTCTTCTCTCCTCTTCTCGCTCACCTCTTTTTTGGGGAAAGTTGGATGATTTGATAGCGGTAATTTTTTCTAGACAGGCAAGTAAGACATTTGTTTATTTTTTCACTCTGAATCAGATTAATACCGAGACAATCGTATTAAGGTGGTTTTCTGGTCTAGAAGTTCAATTTATTAATATTCTCATTTTTAAATTTTTTTTCTCCGTGAAATGAAAGGATAAATTATCTAATGTTTCATATTTTATTTCGTCATTTTCAGCTACATTTAAAAAAATTTCCTAATATGAAATAATTATAAATTTACTTATAAAGAATTATTAGGGCTTAGGTGGTAGTGCATGCCGGAAACTGATGAACTGGCGTAGATCCATTTCCTTATAGTATAGTTTGAAACAGACGAGACCAAAAATTTACTATTATGCATAGAGTGCGGACAAAATAATGGAAACACTTTTATACTAATGCAATTTTTTATCTTTCTCAAGAAATATTAAAAGAATCATTTTATAACTTCAGACATGTTTAGATCATGCGTTTTCTCATGCATTTAACAAAGTTAAAGCCTTGAGGGACCAACAATAAACTACAAACGGAAAATAATGTTTTTGAACTTCCTTATATAAAGTACGAAAACTAATAAGAAAATTGCCTGAAACTATTTCAATTTTTGAGATATTCAAGTCGGACTTGCACCTATTTACTCATTTAATATTGTTATCTAAACAAGGGAAGCATTGTTTCTTACATATCGAATCGAATGAGGCTTTATACAAGTTAACAGAGCAAATAGTTCAAAATTTGCATGAGTTTTTATGCATGAAAAGTATTTCTTGTGGCACGTACTCATGTTCGCATTCTTCATTGATTGCTATCCAGGAATTATTTGATCATGTAAAATTGATTTTCAGGCGTAATTTTTCATGTTAAATTGAATAAATAATACATAGCAGAACTCTATAAGATAAATAGTTAAAAAATTATAAGGGTTATGTGTACAAAGAATACAATTTTGTATTAGTACTTATTTATGCCATGTTGCATACATCTTGCATACTTCTACATGTTGCATGTAGAAGTGAGGTATCGTTTCTTGTGTATTTATCTTTGCTTCGTCGAATGTGACGAAAAACGAATCAAAAGGACTGGCCTTTTAAAAGTTGAATAGATTTTTTGTATTAAAAGTAAAATTTTTGAATTGCACTTATTAAGAAAAAAACGCATCCTTATAAGTTCACATTTGTGGTGATTATAATTTCACATCAACCGATCACCACAATGTTTACTTTTCCTAATGGTTACTTTTCCAACTGGGCTGTCTTCAACAAGAGCCCCCTCTTCGTTGCCTTTGCAGGATCTCTAGGGCTCGACTCCTAGCTCGTCTTTAGAGATTCTCGCAACCGCTAAGGAGGGGACGCTATCTTTTGGAGATGGACCAGTATTCCCCGTGGATCTCTCGAGCTTGCTGCTTCTTCCTTTTTTTGGGCGGCGTTTTTGATTTTTGTTCCCCCTGTTTACTTCAAATTTGTAATAATTTATATATAGTTTTACTTTTTCAATTCTATAAATTCAATAAATTGCAAATCATCTATTTCGTAAATTTTAACTGCAGATGTCTCAAATATGCTGATTACATAAATTTAATTTTTTTACTCCCTGAAGTACACAGGGAGGACTCAACAATCTACGTGTTGGATTTCCTCTTTAAATTTGTGCGTCATGAAGAACTGGAAGTGTACGTTATTTGTAAATTAAACAAATAAATAAAAGAATGAGCAACCTTTTTATCAAATCCTGTGAATTTCTGTTCCAGTATTACCTGTCTTCAGCGTTTAGAAAGATGGTTCACCGAATGTCTACCTGCAGCTCATCAAATGTTTAACTCCAAGAATAGGTAAGGAACCCAGTTAAATTCATCACTACACCACCTGCCCTGATGATCAACATTATCTCTCTTATACGAACCCCCAACGCGATAACATTTATTAAGCTTATCAATTCGAATTTTATCTGTTTCAATTCAGTAACCGAAAAATTCATCGAAAATTGTACCTTGCATGGTTAGATAGCTACTACATAGCTAAGTAACAAGTATGCATGAGTCACATAAAAAAATGCTTTTCATGGATAAAAGCATTTGCATCTCTTGAACTATTCGTTCTATTGACTCCTGTATAATCTCATTCGATTCAGCGTATGTATATACACCAACGAGCCATTACATTATGACCACCCTCCATCTATAACAATGGACTCGCCCAGGTTTTCATGGTTTCTCGCCCAGGAACAATGTTTTCATGGGGCACATTAGGACCCATAATCCTCATAGAACAATTCCTGATGCCTGTAAGCTACTTGAACGAACATAGTGCGGGGGATGGTGTTTACCAACAGGAATGCACCATGTCATAAGGGTCGAATCGTCGAGGAACATTCCAGTGACTTTCAAGTCATGTCTTGGCTCCCAAATTCACCTGACCTTAATCCAATAGAGCATTTGTGGTCTTACCTGGAAATCCAAATTCGTGCTGCCACGCTACCCCCTCGCAATGTGAGGGAATTGCAGGGCCAGTTGGTGAGCGCTTGGTACCAGATACCTCAGACTACCTATCAGCACCTTGTGGAATCAACGCCACGGCTGGTGCTAGCAGTTTTGAGGGCTAAAGGTGGTTCTATATGTTATTAGCAGGGTGGTCATAATGTAATGGCTCTTCGGTGTATATGTTTCACATTTAATAATGAGGCGTTCCTACTTTGTGTTCTGAAATTAAATCGATTAACTCTTTGGATCATTTGGATTTATAAAAGAAAGAAAAACTGATGTATATTTTAATAATTATCTTTATGGGAAAGATTAAAAATTTCTTGTGCTCTGGATAGTGGCTTGCTTGCTATATTCCCACAACTTTCTTGTCATTTCATTATCCTGTGCTCTTGCAGATGGATCTATTCTTGTGCAGTTACTGAAATGAGATAATATATATATATATAATTCATAAAAATATCATTCAAGAAAATATAATAG